TTTGTATTCTTTCTAGAGTTACACATGCACACATTTTTGTTAGATATTTATTTATATCATGAGGATATTGCAGTTTTTACAAGTATAGTAATGTACTGAATATTGAGAATGGGGAAATAGGGAGACATGTCTGCCATGAAAAAAAAAAAAAAAAAATTGAAATCCTAGCTTTAATCCAGGTTTGAACATAGACTGCTGGCACCAGAGGGAAATATGCAACACAATCAGCTGTCAATTGAAGCAGGTTAAAAATTATTTTCCTGACAATACACTTTTGATATTTCAATGACAAGTTTAAGAGTAAGGCTGGGGGTGACAGGTTGTTATGTCTGAAATTCATTTTCAAAACATTTTATTTTTTTGATCAATAAAAGTAAAATAGTTTTTCTTGTAACAGAAGGGACAATTAGTAATTTCTGCCTGAATTTCTCAGATAAGGCGTTGCCATTATTTATGTCCAGATTCCTCATCCTTGTTGTAAGTATCACAATGTTGGATGCATGGATAGTGTAATGGTTAGTGACTTGGAAGTCACTGAATTCAATTCAAATCTCAATGAATTCAATTCAAATCTCAGCCAAGTTTGTTGCATTTACTTTCATGCAAGTACCCTTGGTGGAAAAGTAGGAATCCTTCTCAACTAACCCCCGACCCCAGCTATGAGTTAAATCAAAAGGCTAACCAGGTTCTCTAGCCATGGTTTGCAACTAATTTAGGGGAAGGCCAAATCTCAATTCAAAACTCTTGAGTGCAGTAATTAAACTCGGAATCTCATTCTATTTCAAGTAGAGTGAAATGGACCATTGGAGCAGGCAATAGTAAACTTTTGTTCTGGCCTTTCTTCTGTCTGGCATATGCTTAAATATTAATTTAAGCTTCAGTGGAGAAATAATTCTGTAGTGAGAAGAGAACTGCCCCAAACTTAAGACACTGGATATGTAATTCTAAAATGGCTAATACTATAGAGACAGTACAAAGATTGTGGTGTCAAATAAAAAGAAAAAAAAAGTTTCTGCCATTGTGTCCTCTGTCCTTCTTCAGGTATCTCTCAATCTCGGTAAACTTCAGGGAATTTCAAACTGAATATTTTATTTATTCTACAAAGATAAATTTTTTCCCTATATATATCTAAGGATATCCCTAGCAGATATCAAGAACAATCTATCCCTGTAGATTAAATAAGTGTTTAGTTCAAAGTTCTCTAAAGGTTACACAGATACCTGAAGAAGGGTAGATGGCAAATGGTCAAAACACTGTGATAGTAACAAGATGAGGACATTAATCTGAATGCAATTGATATACAGGGTGTAATTGATAAATTGGCATCTAAATTATGCAAAAATGAAAATTTCATTTTAACAGATATATTTACCAAAATTACACAAAAATATATTGGAATACTAGAAAGTAAATTTATTCAATAAAATTACCATTGGCTTCAACCATGGCCTCTGTATCATTTTGGAATCTCCTGGACAGTCTACTTATTTAAGTTGGTGAATGCTGCCATAATCCTTGCCTTCAATTCATCTTTGGTGTTACAAAGAGCTTTGTTGGTCTTTTGCTCAACTGCACCCCACACACAATTCAGGTGGTTGCAGTCTGGGGAGTTAGGTGGCCAGATGTAAGGGGTGATGTCTCAGTTAATTCATCCTTATGATATCATAATTTTCTTTTATTGAACCATAATCTGACGTTTTGTGCCCTACCTTTTTTTTTTTTTTTTTTTTTTTTAAATCGGTTTCATCCCATGCAAGGCAGTAAAGCCACTAAGACTCAAGGAGGGTTACTGGGTGTGGAAAAATCAGGAATAGAAACATTAATAATGAGCAGGAAAAGAAATGAGTAATCAGGAGAACAGTAGATAGCAATTGACATTGCATTTAAATTTTTACAGATTAAAGCTGGTTGGAAAGCATGGTGCTGGAAGGGTGTTCCACAAGTGAGAAGTGTGAGAAAAGAAACTGTTAGCATAGAATTTGTAACTACATCTATCCAGCTCAACTGTAAATTGATAAGATCTCAACACCAGTTTAGTACTGTGCTAGGTACCATAGCAAACAGCTCATCCAAATGATTACCATGAAAGTATTTATAGAAAAAGCAAAGGGAAGCAACTTTACAGTAGTGGGAAAGTAACTGAAGCCAAGCTGTCAGATCAGGACTGATAATATTGCTGATACTTCTTTGGATTTTATCAAGGAGCATATATGGCAGTAATATTCTAAGAATGGGTGAATGGTAGGCTTAAAAATATTTATGATAATTTTTCTCTCCAGAATCTGTCTTGCATGACACAGTGAACCAACTTTCTTAGCAGCTGACCTAGCAATGGATTCTATATAGTCTTTTCCCTTCATATCAGCAGAGATTATGAGCCCAAGAAGTTGCAACAAGTCACTTTCCTAGAGGTTAGTATCAGCCATGCCGATGGAAGGCAGAGAGGAGTCTTGCAGATGATTAATGGAGAGAAGTTTAGTTTGGAGGTGTTAAAATTAGCAAAAAATGTTGATATGAATTTTGGTTTCATTTGGAAGGAAAATTTGCTTGCACCTCACCAAATTTTATGTTATAAAAAGTACATTGAAAAATACAAAGCAGGTTAAAGAGAGATAACCGGGGATTCAAAGTCAGAACATTATCATTGATAACTCTCTCCTCCAATTTGTGGACCCTTCTTACTATATTCTTGTTAAAATTACACCTTTGAGTGCTGACTCTAGGTGAGTCATCAGTGTTGTTGCTCCAATGTCACTAGAAGTTTCGGGTCTAAATAAACAAAAGACTTCTTCGATGGGTGACCCGACTGAATATGATCAATATTCAGCCCGCACCCAGAGTAAATTTGCTACTAGCTTTAGGACGTGCTTTATATAAGTTTCCCCAGAAAACAGCAACTAATCAAGTCCACACTTGGACTATTCAATGTTATAGATCAGGTATGTTTGGTTGCACTGATTTTCCTACATGCGGCCAAGACAGGGTATTTTTTTTTTTAGGAAAAAGAAAAAAACCAAACCAATTAATATATATACATTAATAAAATAAAAAATCTGAGTTGGCTCATCTTACGACTTACTTTTCTTTCTCTTCCTCTCCTTTTAAATTCTTTATTATTTCTTATTTGTTTGATCATTTTTCTCTTTTTATAACTTTCCTTTTTATTCTTAACTATACTTAAAAAATGTTTAAAATAGAGTGAGTAAAAGGATTTACTCAGACTATTTACAAAAAAAACTCCTAAAATACAATATGAATAATCTGGCATATTGATTGATAATCTAATAAATTTTGTTTAAAAAATAAGAGAAATAACATTTAACTAAAATTGCTTAAAATGAATTAATCAAGATATTTAAATGTTAAATACTAGTTAAAAAAAGAAAACATAACATGTAAATTTAGTTAAAATAAGTTAATCCTAAAAAATTATCCCAAAAGGATTGAAAAAACAAGTAAATACAACAAAAAAAACAAAAACAAAAAATGGGTAATTACTAAAAAAAATTGTGAGAAAAGAAGAGGAAAAATTACGTGTAAAAATATTGTGTAAAATGAATCTACTCGAATGAAGAGTAAAAGACAAAAATGACGTCATTGAACATGTGACAGAATGCAACTAATGTCATCATGCAACTCGAATAAATTGTTTAAAAACCTGTCATTTCTCTTGATATAAGTCAAAAAATATTGCAATGATAAAATTGGTCAATAATTATTTACAGCTATTTATACTAAGACTCAGGGAGGCATGGTAGAGTAATGGATAGCAGTTTGAATTGAGGAATTTGAGAGCCAAGCTCTAATTCCAGTTGGATCCATAAGACTTATGTACTAATACTCTTGGGAAAGGGTATGAATCCTCTTCTTCTATCCCCAGCTGTGGGTAAATAGCAGGACAGACTGGGTTCTATAGCCCTGGGTGGCAACTGGTCTAGGAGAAGGTAACTCTGAATTCAAAACCAGCCTGGAGAGGGTTGGGTTCCATCAAGCTATATTGCAAGATAGAAACATCACTTCTACTGTGGCTGCAGTATATGTGGTGTCCCTAAAAACCTACAGGTCACAGGATAAAAAAAAATACTGGGACTCATGCATGCAATTACAAGTAATCCATAATAATATTTTAAATTTTGAAATTATATTTATTTATGACAAACAAATTTTTAAAAACTATTTCTAAATCTTTGATTGTCTTTCAATCATTCTGCCTCACTCACTATCCTCTTCTGCTGCACCTATGATGCGCGCCACACCCTTTTGGGAACTACTGCACTATGTTACCACAATGTGAGTCCTTATTTTATTTTGAATATAATTTATATTTAATATTCACACCACCCAACATGTTTTTCAGCATGTCTATACTGTTTTGTTAAAGTTGCATGCCTGTCATTGTCATAATCGAGATAATTCATCATGAGAAACAAAAGGCTGATAGTCAAAGGGCCACTATTCTGCAATCAATGTCAGTATATTTAGTTTGAATCTAGAGTTTTCCTTCTCTTAAAGTGGTTTCCATCCAAGGTTAAAAGCTCACTTTGCCCTGTTATTTTATCCATAGTTTGGAAAAGGGAAGCAATGGATTCATGTCTTTTCAAAAGGCATTAATACAGAAAGAATACCACAAACTCAGCTAGAATATGAATTTGGAGCAACAATTCCATTCTTTGTACCAGTAACTGTTACACGACCCACACCTCTGACATCTAAATAACCTTTCTGATTGATTCATTCATTTTCTATAGCTTATCAACCCTTTGCAGGTTCTTTAAAATATCTTTAGATTGTAAGAATTTTTTTTTGCAGGGGGGAGATAATAACGATCTAGTGATAATAATAATAAATAACCTATAGCTGGGGAGGAGAAGAGGGGGATTCATGCCTTTCCCAAGGGTATTTGCATGTAAATGAATATAACAAACCCAACAGAAACTGGAACTCGGCTCCCTGATTAACAATTCCAAGCCATTATCCATTACACCATCAACACATCCAAGCTTCCAGCACTTGGTATTCCCAAGGGGTCACCCATCTACATACTGACCAAGCTTGATGTTGCTTAACTTGGGTGATCGTGTGGGAACCAGTGTTTCAATGTGATGTGGCTGTAATCCTAACATAACGTATCTTTTCTGAAAAATAAAAAATCTACGAACAGAAAAAAATAAGTTGTAATAGAAGTTGTCTTACCTCGATAACATTTCAGTATAAACAACATTTTCAGCAAGACATCTATTTTGTTAAGTCCACTTGAATTTCCTACTCTAGACACATCTACATATACCTAACTATAAGAGAAACATTTTGATAATTTTCTGTTTACATTAATAATAATAATAATTTATTCAGAAAACTTACTCTTTTTTGACTTATTTAAAGGATTCAATATAATTTTTTGAGAAATCTAATTAAATAGATTATTTTAACATTTAGATAAATCTGTAAAAACACTTTTTCAGCTCCACTCAACTAATTTGCAGTAATGGGAAATGGCAGATGACAACAATGGTTACTATGACTGCAACAAGAAATAAGACTGTACCTCATGTTGCCAGGCCTAAAACTATAGACTTCTATAAAAAATTATTTTAAAGTTATTTATATCTGCTTCTTTAAAAAATTGTTTTTAGAAGCCAAGATTATATTTATTTTACATTTTCTTTATTTTTATTTTGTGTGACACGATGTGACACAAAATGGAAGAAAAATGGTTAAAACTGAAATATAACTCAGAACAAGATGAAAAGGGCTAAAGAATGGAACAACAGATTGAGATTTCTTTTAATTTTAAAAGTCTATTTTAAGCAGAGATGGCTTGAAGAAGGTAACTTTGTTGGAAAGATACTACCACAGAGGCCATCTGGTAAAGCTGGGCTGAAAATTGATTGATCGCACAGCGTTAAAGTAGAAATTAAGAAAACAGCTTCTAGGAATCACCTGGGAAAGGAAGCCGAGTAAAGAGATAATATTTGGTAATTTTTAAAGACAAGGCAGAATTAAAAAACTGATTTATTTTGCCTATCAAAAAGAGGAAATTGTAAACAAGCTGAGGAAAAAGAATTTCTTTATGTAAGGACCCAACCCTGGGTTCTTAAAGTGCTATGACCCTAACAAGATGGGGAGATAAGCTGACCAGAGGAAACAGCTGATAAATTTCTGATTGTATAAACAAGACCGGACTGGGAAAAATTTGCTGATGAGAAATTAAAATGATAATTCTAATTAATGACCAGAAACTAAGCCATGCCATGCAGTTTGAGAACCAGATTTGTCAAAAGGACAACAGAGGTAACATGTGTAGCTGAAATACCATGAAGGATGGAAGAATTGCCTACACTCATTGGGAGGTGTTGGTACAAGGCACAAATAAAAGGAAGGAAGGAAGGAGTTATCAGGGTGGATCAATACCTCTGACCACTCCCCATACGAAAAGGTATCGACCCAAATTTGGAGATATAATTAATTTTCCAGAGCCAGACAACAAGACTCTTGTTGGAAGATAAGGGAAACATCGAGTACTCTAACCACATCGACCCCCCATGACAGTTTTGGGTGAAAGTCAATATAAGCAAAACACTGAAGTAACCAAGAGAGTTCCAGAGATGCCAGTTCCAGAATGCAGATGACGAGAGAGGACTACTCTGTCAAATCCCACATGACTTGCTGCCAGAGAGAACCTTTGAATTGAACCTTGTTCTAGAATTAGCTAAATTGAGCAAAGTGTCACGATAGAATTCAAAGTTGGAAGGGTTAATATTTCTGTACAAAGAATGATATAAACCGCATAGAAATAGACCGTGAAGAAATTCCTGTCTTTTCTTTATTTAGTCTACAAGAACGTTTTTATTTTTCCTTTGTAACATAGCTCTGCTTGGAATGAACCAGGGCTACAATTGTTAATGACAACTCGACTTTTGCCAGCTCCATGATCAATCAACACAACATGAGGCAGAGCAAGGCACAGATCAGAATGACCAACTACAATGGCAACATTGAGCAAGGACTGACCAGTGAGAAGGGTTACCATTTGTCCTAACTTCTCTTGACAAGACATATAAATTATTACAATAAAAAACACTGAGGATTTTAAAAAAAATCTTTATCAACAGATACATTGCTTATATATGACAATTTAGTTTTTACTCCTAGTAAGGCAATAAAGCCACTAATATGCAAGAGGTTGCTGAATGTTGGAGAATATGAAAAAAATACTATTAAGGAGAGAGATCAATAAAAGAACAAGAATTAAGAAGACAGAAGATAACAACTGATATTTAATTTAAATTTTTGAATAGCAAAGTTGATTGGGAAGTAAGAAGCTGGAAGAGAGTTTCACAAGTGAAGAACTGCAAGAGAAGAAATTTAACAGAACATATGGTTACACCTAGCTATTTCAATTGTAAAATTATGAGACTTTGCCACCAGTCTAGTATTACACTTAAATTCAGTCTTAAGTCTAGGTATCATAGAGGAAAGTTCATCAGAACAATTACCATGAAAATAGTTGTAGAAAAGCCACAGGGAAACTACATTATGCAAGTGGGAAAGTGACTGAAGGTGAGATGTCAGATTAGGACCAATAACATTGCAGATTCTTCTTTGGATTTCATCAATATATAACAGGAGCACCAGACCATATGTAGCAACAATATTCAAAGCATGGACAAACAGTAGACTTACACATATGTAAGATAAATTTTGGAGAGAAAAATTGTCTAGGATGACACAGTGAACCAACTTTCATAGTAGTAGAATTTGAATTAAAAATAAATAACCCTAATGAAGTATTTATTATCAATGTAGTATAATGGTTAACAAGCACATTTTGCTGGATCAGTTACAATTAAGTAGCAATTTTGATTTTCGCTGGGAGTTTCTAACTTGCAGCCTTGTGCCACATCTTAGCTATGCTTAGGAAATCTTTAGCAATGCAAGCTGTTTTGTTCTACTTATCTAAGGTGGGGGACACACAGACATATTTTAGCTTTATGCAAAGTTATAAAAAAATTGTTCTAATGAAACAAAAGCAGCCATATATTCTAATTGGCTGTTTATGGGGATGAACAATTAAGACAAACTATTGTATCTGGCGAGAAGGCAAGTTCTCGTGGTTTCTAAATAATCAAATTTATATAGAAACCACAAGAAATTTCCTTCCAACCAAATACATGGCTTTTTTTTTCTGCTGATAAAGTAACCAAAACTGTTGTAATTTAACAAAGTCACATTGTGTTTTATATTATTGAAAAGATACTTTATTTTGTTACCAAGAGAAAAGTTTCAGCAGGTGTCTCAATAATGTACATAGTTTTACATTCATCTCTTCATGTATGCTTATATACATTCATCATATATGCTTAAAACGGAAACAGTCATTTATATAGAAGAGTAGTAGAACATTGGACAGAGGATGAAATGTTTCAAAGAATCATTGGAGGAATCCAGTTACTGATGTTTAAATATAAACAGTGATTTAAGAGAATGAAATGGATTTAAAATCAGTTTCTAATGTTGTATGTGATTCATGGAATGAAATACTAGAGAAATCTGAATTGGATGCCCATCAAGAACCTTTGATCTAAGAAGAGTTGATCTGTGGTGACCTTAATATGTACTGGGTTAACCCTTACAGATGTTAACGTAAGCTTTGTGCTTTGTGTCCGAGATAAATAGCAAGAAGGAGATTCATATTCTAAAAATCATAAGTCTGTGTTGGTCATGATACCAATGGTAATAAATGAGTCTCACAAGTCCCACATCAGAAAATGCCGAGGCATAAATCAAAAGGATCAAAAAATCCCCATCACAACTTTCCCCTTGGTTTCTTATTTCCTCTTCCCTTTTTTTTTTTAAATTTTCATAATCAAATTTATAGTAAAAGAAGTGATGCTTACAATGTTAATTTCTTTATTTTTTATAAAAAGCTACTTACATGAAATTCTAGTTGTTTGCTATGTACAGCCACCTTCTTCACCTATAAAGAGTTAATCTACCAGCCTGTTGTCCAAAGTAGGATTCTTTTATTGGAGTAAGAAAGTGAGTGGTCAAGACTGGTAGAGAAAAGCAAACAACTGCCATATTGCCAATTACCATATAGACAACCCAATCTTGTTTTTCTTTTTTGACCAATAGCAAAGAGAATGCAAATTCTGTTTTTGAGGTAAGACTTGGTTTTCTCTTCACTGTCATAGTACCATGTCAAAATGTAAAAAGAGATAGGTCCCTTCAAGTCTGACATAGATGTTTTCATAGCCACCAAGTGCAGAATCAGGCCTCAATGTATGTCAGTGGGTGCATTAACATAAACAGGAAGTGAATGCAGCTGAACTTTAGATATGCACAAACAAAACAACCAAATGAAACAAAGTTATATAAATGCCCTACCCATGAGGAGAAGTCAGAGAGTTCCTTGCATCCTTGCAAGAAAAAGATGGAATGTTTGAAGAAAGTCTCTGAAACCACATACCCGCCATGGCCAACATATATTTGAAAGTGTTCACAAATTAATCAACAATTATTTTACAAACAAAAAATTTAGTCTCATATTTTTATCTGATGTTATTAATATAACATTATCTGGAATACCCTATTTTCTCTACCAGTCAGTCTTGCATTTTGTTTTCTTTTAATTTTTTTGTCTCAATGCATGAAGTAGGTGTGTGTGGGGGGAAACAAAATGGACAACACTTTAATTTATTCAATGTAGTCCCCCCCCCACAATAAAATCATTACAAAAAATAACAAAGATGAGGATATTCATCTAAAAAAGAGTTGATGGAGTGATAAACTGAATCAACTTGAATTTAATGTTCTAAGCAGGTTTTTATACAAATAAAGAATTTAACATTGACAGAATTGTAAGCACCACTTTTTTTACTAGAAAATAAGAAACCAAAAGAAAATCTTTTTGTTACTTGAGAAAAATCAGAGCCATCATCAAACAAACAGAAATTATTTTTGTACAATTTCAAACTTTTCTCTTTATAGAATAGGGAAATCTGTTTTAAGCAAATCTTTACAGACTTCAGTAGATATTTAGGTACAGAACATTTTAATATATTTTATTCTATTTTTACAAGCACCAAATTGATGAGATCGATTAAGTTG